TGCGGAGATAATAACATGCACAAAAACAAGACAGAGCAAAACCAAGCAATAAAACAAAACAACAACAACAAACCAATGACAAAAAAACCCCCAACAAAACACAATAAGAAAAGCTTGTAGTTAGTTCAAGGAGTGTTTGTTGGCCCTTAGGGGTATTTTCTAGTCGAGTCTGTTGGGGCACAAGCCCTGGCCACAACATCTATTTTTGGTATTCCCTGGGGACTTCATTGATCTGTTCGCCTTGCTGTTCTGTTGCACACCCTTAGTGTTTTGCCTTGGTGTGGTGGGATCAGATCCGGTGGAATTCCCACATTGTGTCTCCAGTGTTGTCCCTTGTAGGGCTATGGGTCAGTAAGGGATGTCGTATCTTGTAGTGGGGCCGGCCATGTGGTTTTTTCTGTGGATTGGCTGATCTGAACCAGAATATCATCCTGAATTCTTGGTGGGCCAGGATGTGCTCCGCTCTCTCTTCCTCCACCTTCATTTGCTCCCATGTGCTCTGATCAGACATGTCCCTCTCCCGGAGCTGCAGGTTCAGTGCTGTCCTATGAAATATCTTTTTTTTTTTTTTTTGACGTACAATTTGCCTAGAGAAAACAGAAAATAAACTAAATAAAAAATGTATACTAGGTCTAAAAATGTGCTTTACACAATTGAGGTATGCATGGATTGTGGTAAGAGTTGTATGAGCTCCTAATAAAATGATTTTAAAAAATGTATACTAGGTCTACCTCTGGGAATGTGGGCCCAGTCTAGACTGCTTAGATCAATGGTTCTCAACCTGTGAGTCGTGACCCTTTTAAGGGTCAATAGACCCTTTCATAGGCGTCGCCTGATTCATAACAGTAGCAAAATTACAGTTTGAAGTAGCAATGAAGATAATTTTATGGTTAGGATGTCACCACAACATGAAGAACTGTATTAAAGGATTGCGGCATTAGGAAGGTTAGCTTAGATTTAAAAATAAGAAATGACATTGAAGTGATCAAAGTGAATTTTCTGTTGTGATGCCTTATACCTGGGCAGTTGTAGAAATGCCAATAGCACAACTATATTTATAAATATCAGAGTAGGATGTGAAAGATGGTGAGGCAACAGTCTCCTCACTTGCAAATGAGGTGCCTGCTCTACCAATTTTAAGATTAATGAATAATTTCAAGCAACATGTGTACGTAGAATCAATATTTTTCTCACCCCCTTTTTTTCTTTCCTAATTTTTCTTTTCTTATTTATCCACATACTTTAAAAATTTCCTTTTTTCCTTTAGGTGTTACTTTATAGTTCATACTAAGAGATTGTCTAATCACTATTGTTTTACTCTGAAGTTTTTTATGATAAATCTACTTATATTTCACCATTCTCCATTTTTAAAAGATGGGCATTCTTCTATTGTGGGTATTAATGTGAAATCTTATCACAGTTGATAATTATATATTTTTTTATCGTGCTTATCTTGCCAAGCAAAGACAGAATAGGTAGAAAATACAGAAATTTACAATATTTCATTTCACTTGTGCAAAAATCTTACCAACATTTCATTTCTTATTCTATATTGGAATTAAATTTATAGATTTTTTTTCCCTTTCCTGCCCCCCCTCACCCCAAAGATGATGTACTCATTTGTTGAAACTGA